AATTGTTCCACTAGTCCATTATTATTATGTAGCTGAAATAATCAGCTATTTCGTGAGAAACGTGAAACGCTTTATAACAAGTTCAAAAGGTTTCATAATACAATAATACGGTGGCTAAATAATGATGATCATAGCCCATTAATCACTCTATACTACTAGGATCAATGGAGTATATATGTTTTAAATATGTATGAGGTATTAGTTAGACATTTGATTAGAACATAAAACTGTTAACAAAAAGAACGAGAAACTTGGATAAGACCAAAAACTTATATATGTCCTTAAAGTCGATATTACATATATTTTATTTTTTCAACCGTTTGATATTTATATATATGGACAAATGTTAAAGCAGAAAGGTTTCTAGAAAGAAATTAACTAATCGAAATTTTATTTTCCATTGTACTTTGTAATAAAATTTGATATCTTTTGACCAAAAATATTAAATGGAATTTTATATACACTTTTTATCTACTACATAAGGTATGCTAGCTCTTGATTTGGGTAATAGGCCGCTCCCTTATCATCATTAGTTTTTTTTTATCTTTTGTTATTTTTTCGAACCCATTCATTGTCTTTGTGCAAAGTTAACTAAAACATAAAATAAAGACAACATTGAAAATGAAAATTCAGTAATAAACTTACACACAATATTAGAAAGAAAACACTTTTATTCAATTAAATAAAATAAAAAGAAAAACATACAGTAGCGATCGATGATGATATTCACAAAGGAAAAAAACTATCATGCTATAACAATTTTGTTCCCATGAAAAGCAAAAAGAATATTATAAGACAAATTAGTAAATTTGCCACACGTACGTGTGCAAAGAAAAGAATATGATCATTCGTAGAATCTGAAATAAATAAATAAAATGTCAAAATTGAAATTGTAGATTATGTTGAAATGCTTGGGATTCCTACATTACAACCGTGTGGGCGCCTCACTTTAGAAACTTGAACCCGACTTTTCTTAAACCCTAACCCTTTTTTTCTTCTTTCTTTCTTTCTTTCGTATTTTGTTTGTTTTCTAAATCTTTTTACGTATTTGGCTTTTAAAATAAGATTTTGTCCATGCACGCTCTCCCTATGACCACAAGCTTCTAGGAATCCGATGCATATCAGCTTATCTTATTCTTAATTAGCCCCTTGCTTGATGAAATTTAGTTTTCGTTAATTGGGCCTAAATTATTATAATTATAACTTTAGATCCAATAATATTTGGCTATGTTATGTGTGTGTGTGGGTGTGTTGTGTTGATGATTGATGTTATTAATAACTTAGATATTAACTGAAAACCACTAAATTTAGCAAAAAAAACACACTATTTTAAAAATCTTAATGTAGAAACTTGTCGGATTAAGAACGAATAAGAACATGATATAGGACATAAGTTCACAATTTAAGGTTTGGTTGTCAGTTTGACCAGTACTTGACCTGCAGACCAGATTGATTTATTTTTTGTTGAAATGCATATGACCAAGTATTTGTGCCAATAATAAAGTGTCGAAATCCAAAAATACTTTATTGGTTTACAAAAAGAATATGAACGTCTAACTATTAGAAATCCACATTTACTTCTCGCATATTACGTGCAATGCATGCATTTGAGTTTGACGTAGGAATATGTACATGACCGGACGTCGTACTCGTACATATATGTATACGTATAAAACTATGATAACATATATAATAATATAATAAAGTTGAAGTGTGTTTATATTGTATATACGTACGCAAATGTGGCCATGCATGTGGCTTAAAGGTTTTAAAACCATATGATATAATTCTGCAAGTAATTCATCTTTATCGAAAGTTGAGAGACCTCTCTCTTTCTCGCTTTACAGTGACAAATTTTTAAATCAAGCCTCCATCATTTTTTTCTTTCTTTTTGCTATAAGATTCCACACTGCCCATCCCACTCTATATACACACACACACACACATTGTGTGTAAAACAAATGACTCGTAAAACGTGACTGTATTCCACCAGTATGTTTTAGCAATGACGCAAAAGACTTCATCAACCACGATCATATATATGTGTGTTTGTATACAATAAGTGTTTTGGTCCTTTTGGAATCAGTTCATAATCTGGTAGGAGCTATACGAATATATTAAACTGATCATATATATGTGTGTGTGTTATCTATTGTGGATAGGTACAAACTTTTTTTGTCGGTCCAAACATTTTGTCGGTAGAGATGTTTCATTTGGTTTTGCGAAATTAGATAGAACAGAAAAAGATTGATATACACATTTTTAGTTCTTGATATTCTATTATATATTCTGAACAACTAAAGAAGACGAATAATGGTCAAAGTCATGGGAATGGAGAAGACTGTCTCAGATTTGGTGAGAATGTGTCAGACATCAAAGCAAAGGCTCTCTCAACTTAACTCTATTATTTTTTGGTTTTATAAAAATATTATATAACCTATGACCTACCTACTTACTTCCTCTACTCATACAACTATATAGTTTACCATCTGATTCGATATCATATTGGAATCCAATGGAGGTTAACGTCATCTTCAAATGGTTCAAACTTTATAGATATGATCAATATTGCATATAATACAACTAAGTTAGGGTTGGAATGATGATAGTCACGGATTAAATTACCATGATATAGTTTGATATAAATGTTTTCCATAAATAAATGTTCACCGAATTGAAAGTTAATTAAAATATGGATTATCAATAATAATCATTGTAGTATATAGCCCTGGGCGTTCGGGGGCCCGTTCGGGTTCGGGCCGGGCTTTTCGGCTTTTCGGGTTTTCGGTTTTAGACTTCTAAAGCCCATTCGGGTATATATATATTTTTGGGCGGACTCGGGTTCGGGCCGGGTTTTTCGGGTTCGGGTTCGGTTTTGTTTCGGGTTCTTACTATATAATTTAAACAAACTGGTTTTATATCAAACAACATAAGAAAGCTTTATTAAATAAGAACACACATACTATAAAAAACATAACAATCACGAGGTGACAACAATTTTAGAGGATCTATTTATTTTCAACAAAGCTACGAGCAATAGAATTTGCTTTTCTTTGTGAAGACAAAAAAAAGTTTGTTCGATGCTTAACTAATCACTATTAACATCGATTGATATAACAAGACGGTGGATCATCAAAAGTTGTTAACTTGTTATGGCCATTGAAAATAAGTACCTTTTGGTACGTAGTAATATTACTCGACGAAACGTATAGAAAACAACTAAAGCAGTTTATAAGTTATGTCTTTAATCGTAATAGAACAACTGAGCAACCATCTTCTTCACTCATAATTCAGTATTGACCATATTATTTGACTTAAAGCTTACATATGTTAATTTTTTTGTCATCTCTTACACATGTTAATTAGGTTATTCGAACTTATATTTTTTGGTAAGAAAAGGTGTCCGTACCTTCGTTAAAAAGAAACATAGATTTGATATTGATAGATAATAAAAAATAAAAAAAACTCAAGTTACAGAGGAGGACGAAGCTCAAATTTAACCAAATAAAGGAGATGTCTTTTAAGTATGATTAAGCTAGAAAATACCATAACAAAGAAACC